CAATTTGCATGGCAAGACCTATGCATACCAAGTCACTGTGCATGGCAAGACACTATGCATGGCAAGTCACGGTGTATGGCAACACATTGTGCATGGCAAGATACTGCTCACGAAGAGACACTGCATTCTAGATATTGCGCATGGCAAGACTCTGTGCATGAAAAGACACTGTGAATGAGAACATTGCGTATGCCAAAACACAGTGCATAACGTGGCATTGCCCAGGCCAAGACACAGTACATCGCATGACATCGCGTATTGCAAGACAATTTGCATGGCAAGACCTATGCATACCAAGTCACTGTGCATGGCAAGACACTATGCATGGCAAGTCACGGTGTATGGCAACACATTGTGCATGGCAAGATACTGCTCACGAAGAGACACTGCATTCTAGATATTGCGCATGGCAAGACTCTGTGCATGAAAAGACACTGTGAATGAGAACATTGCGTATGCCAAAACACAGTGCATAACGTGGCATTGCTCAGGCCAAGACACAGTACATCGCATGACATCGCGTATTGCAAGACAATTTGCATGGCAAGACCTATGCATACCAATTCACTGTGCATGGCAAGACACTATGCATGGCAAGTCCCGGTGTATGGCAACACATTGTGCATGGCAAGATACTGCTTACGAAGAGACACTGCATTCTAGATATTGCGCATGGCAAGACTCTGTGCATATAAGACACTGTGCATGAGAACATTGCGTATGCCAAAACACTGTGCATAACATGGCATTGCCCAGGCCAAGACACAGTACATCGCATGACATCGCGTATTGCAAGGCAATTTGCATGGCAAGACCTATGCATACCAAGTCACTGTGCATGGCAAGACACTATGCATGACATGTCACTGTGTATGGCAACACATTGTGTATGGCAAGATACTGCTCACGAAGAGACACTGCATTCTAGATATTGCGCATGGCAAGACTCTGTGCATGAAAAGACACTGTGAATGAGAACATTGCGTATGCCAAAACACAGTGCATAACGTGGCATTGCCCAGGCCAAGACACAGTACATCGCATGACATNCATTACTTAAGTCATCAGTTTCGCGATTCTACGCGGTGGTTGTGGGAGAAGAATATTGAGAAGACTAATTATGTACCTAAAATTGTGTAGTGGGATTTATACAAGATTTTCCTTCTTTCACACACATATACACACAGACACACACAATATTCATGCGTCCATCTCTCGTTTCGATTTGATAATAATAATAATAATAATAATATTAATGGGTGACCAATTTTTCGACTTGGTTTTCTTCTTTTTCTTTTACTTGTCCGACTCGAGCAGCACTAAGTCGTCCGCCACAACGTCAGAGATGTGCAAATAAATAATCCAGTACATTAAGTTGAAACACACGAAGCACACCGGAAACACTATTCGAGAGTATTTGTCTATATCCGATGGCGTGATGCCGTACAGTTTATTAATGTCTTTACCCGGATGAATTATGTGTTGCGGGATGGGCGCGCCGGCTTCCTCATCGCCACCCCTTCCGCCGTTCACGGTACTCTCCAAAGTGCCACCCTTGCTGTGAACTTTAGGATCGTGTACCTTAAAACGTACCTCCTGGAACAAAGGTTCCTCCTAAGCAGTATCCGCGATGTAACATTTTTGCATCACTTATTCTATATGAACAAAGGCTCATAGAGAATGGGACAAAGATGAGATAAAACTGTGAAAATTGATTGTTTAAAGCAATATAATGTGGCACAATCAAACAGCTTTTTTTGATGTGAAAAACACTGTGCATGGCAAGACACTGCGCATGGCAAGACACTGCGCATGGCAAGACACTATGCATGGCAAGTTGCTGTGTATGACAACACACTGTGCATGGTAAGATACTGCTAATGAAGAGACACTTCATTGTGTACATTGCGCATGGCAAGACCCTGTGCATGACAACGTTGCGTATGTCAAAATACTGTGCATGACATGGCATTGCCAAGGGCAAGACACAGTACATCGCATGACATCGCGTATTGCAAGACAATTTGCATGGCAAGACCTATGCATACCAAGTCACTGTGCATGGCAAGACACTATGCATTGCAAGTCACGGTGTATGGCAACACATTGTGCATGGCAAGATACTGCTCATGAAGAGACACTGCATTCTAGATATTGCGCATGGCAAGACTCTGTGCATGAAAAGACACTGTGAATGAGAACATTGCGTATGCCAAAACACAGTGCATAACGTGGCATTGCCCAGGCCAAGACACAGTACATCGCATGACATCGCGTATTGCAAGACAATTTGCATGGCAAGACCTATGCATACCAAGTCACTGTGCATGGCAAGACACTATGCATGGCAAGTCACGGTGTATGGCAACACATTGTGCATGGCAAGATACTGCTCACGAAGAGACACTGCATGCTGGATATTGCGCATGGCAAGACTCTGTGCATGGCATGGCATTGCCCAGACCAAGACACAGTACATCGCATGACAAAGCGTATTGCAAGACAATTTGCATGGCAAGACCTATGCATACCAAGTCACTGTGCATGGCAAGACACTATGCATGGCGAGTCACTGTATATGGCAACACATTGTGCATGGCAAGATACTGCTCACGAAGAGACACTGCATTCTGGATATTGCGCATGGCAAGACTCTATGCATGACAAGACACTGTGCATGAGAACATTGCGTATGCCAAAACACTGTGCATGACACGGCATTGCCCAGGCCAAAACACAGTACATCGCATGACATCGCGTATTGCAAGAAAATTTGCATGGCAAGACACACTCATCGCATCATTTATGTACATATATTGCATGCCAGCTGTGATGTTTTTTTTTTAATGTTATGTCCCATTCTTTATAAACCCCAATATTAAATATTCAAACCATGATTGATTTCTGTTAGCAGTTTTGACAAGCATCCGATTAATAGTTACTACAAAGATTCTGATTTATGAATGAAGTATTAGAATTGATTCGAAATAATACCAGTAATTTTTTAAGAAAACGTTTCTCTTCTGCCTAAAATTTTGACGGAAACTTACTGTTTGCTTTGGAGCGTGGTCACTGTCGGGACCCCCATCCACGTTTAGTTTCTTTTGTTCGGCAATTTTCTGTATTGCCATAAAACGATTCTTTCGCATTTGAATCCTTTTAGCCATATATCCGACTGTTGCATATTCTACAAAACAAAAATTAAGTTAAGTCAAAACCTGCTTATGATGGTTCAATTCGGTCCCAAATCTGTTGAAGAGATTTTTTAAATAATTTACAAAGCTATTATCCAAATACGTGAAATTATTGTTACTCTAAAGAGGAAGAAGAATATTGTAGCTAAGATTGTCTCTGTTTACACTTGAATGAAGTTCCAAAAGGAAGTGACATATTTTTAGTGAGATGCCTTTAAGGGAAAATGAGGGCGTATAACAAGCTAATGTTTTCCGGAAGCCTGTTTAGTTCTACTTGACTTTTGTTGACTAATTCTATTTAGAAAGACACTTCACACCATTCGACCTTTACATGAGTACCGTACGGTGCTTCAAACAAAAATCGTAGCATCGTAAACTGCAGAAGAACAAAGAAAGCAGATGCATATTAAAGTGGAAAGAAGCATTTAATACTATCAAATATTTGTTACTTCAAAACAATGAGATTCATATTTTGAAGATTACAACGAGGGATTTTATTNGGTGCTTCAAACAAAAATCGTAGCATCGTAAACTGCAGAAGAACAAAGAAAGCAGATGCATATTAAAGTGGAAAGAAGCATTTAATACTATCAAATATTTGTTACTTCAAAACAATGAGATTCATATTTTGAAGATTACAACGAGGGATTTTATTTTTAAACTCAAGTACACAAAGCAATTTAACTGCTTCAAAAAAATTCAGAATTACTAAATAGTGCAGGTAGCAGTAAATATGTATAGATGGCAGCACACTGTCATTTTCTGAACGTTTATTCATCTTGTTTTAATGTCACAATCCACTATAGTTAAGAGCATAACATTCTTAATTTAAACGTGTTTGAGTACGTATTATCTCTATAGATGGCAGTTACTACGCTATCTGTGATTATTTGTTAAACATATTTTGTTTGAGTGACTTTGTTTCATTTGTTTTTGAATCTTAACAGTTGTATTTTGCGATAGAATTCTTCAATATCTAAAAAAAGATGACTTACCTAGCAAACTGGCGAAAACCATGACGAAACAGGTGCCCAAATAAACGTCAATCGATTTAACGTAAGAAATTTTGGGCAAGGCTGCGTTTGTTGAGGACATAAGAGTTGTCATTGTGAGTACAGTGGTAACCCCTAGAGCCACTCTAGCCGGTGTGGCGTTTCGATTTAGCCAGAAGCTTACCCAGGAAATAATAACTATTAAGCCGGACGGGATATAGATCTGTATGAGGTAGTAACCCATGGAACGAACGAACTGGATTTCACAGGCCAAACGAGAGTAGTTTCCTGTATTAAAAAGTATATACTTTTCATTAAAATAAAAAAATGATAGATGTCTGTTACCGGGTAAAAGGCTATTATAGAAGGGTCAGGTTAAGAAGACGAACCCGAGATAAATTATTACTAGATTGAAAGATATCTATTCCCTTGTCTTACTTCTGTCAGATCTATCAACATTAACAAAATAAGATAAGAAACGAAAGGAAACAAAGGGCAGACCGTTTTATATCCCCAATATATGTGAAACAGGATAGGAATTTGTCGAATAAAATTGCGGACTTCGCCTTCTGAAACTGACCGGACCATAGAAAAGCCAAACCTCAAACAGACAACTAAATTGTGACTGCCCATGTTATCATTTCGTTCTTGATTTTGGTTTTAATGAAACGAAAGGAAACAAAGGGCAGACCGTTTTATATCCCCAATATATGTGAAACAGGATAGGAATTTGTCGAATAAAATTGCGGACTTCGCCTTCTGAAACTGACCGGACCATAGAAAAGCCAAACCTCAAACAGACAACTAAATTGTGACTGCCCATGTTATCATTTCGTTCTTGATTTTGGTTTTAATGAAAATTGAATAAAATGTCTGACATTACCGTAGAAATAAAGAAATATAAAACTTTTTTACTTTAAAAGGCTAATATAGTTAATTTGGTAAACTGAATTTTTGCAAAATGACATGTCTGTTTAGTTTTATTCAAGTAAATTTTGAAATAAAAAATTAT